AAAAGCCTTACTTTGAATTAAATCTTTCAAGGCTTTGCATGCATTATAGAAAGGTACTATCCTAATTGTGGCTCAAAACGAGGTTTTAAAAAAGTTAAAGTCATTTATGAAAACGTTTTGAGTAATATCCAATGAAATAAGGTGAATACTAAAATAAAGGCACAGGAAGTAATAAAGGATGGGGGGAAAAAAACAGTAAAATCACAGCCATGCAGCTGCAGTAAAAAGAGGGTGAAAGAAAGGATGGCCAAGTACATGGGGAGGAAAGTTTAAGAAAATGCAGAGGTTTTTGAATGGGTACAGCAAAGCAAGTTTATGGGGAAATAAAAGCCAGAGTGTATAAATAAAAAGCTTATTCAAACAGTCATAGAAACAGGATAAACTAATCAATGGTGCAAAAATAAGCAAAGTATCTAAAAAAAAAATTATTGGATAACATCCAGTCTTAGAAAGACAGCCTTGCAGTGCGTTGTTGATGAAATGGTTGCAGGTTTGAAAGGTAAAAAACAGGGAAACAGGGCTTTCATGCTTGTGCTAGTGTTCTCTGTTCAAGCTGTGACTCACACTGGCAGGCTACACAGATATTTGCCTTCTAAGGGCAGCAGCTCATGGATCTGGGATGTTGAGGATGTTTGCCGGGTGAGCTGTGGAGATACTGCGTCCTCCTCTGCAGAATATGCCGGCTCTTCATCCTCGGGAGGAGACACAACCACCTCCGGGATGCCTTGAGGGCCAGGGCCCGTGCAACGGGTTTGTGACAGGCTTAGATTGGAGCGGCGAAAAGATGAAGGGGTGTTTTGAGGGGTGCTGAAGGGAGAGGGGCCAGAAGACAGCCCAGTGTTGGAAGAGGAGGACGGCAGGAGGTGGTTGAGTAGAACGGAGACTCTTGACTCCTGTCTCTGGGACAGGTTGGAGACGGAGGAGGCTGACCCTGGCTTGTGGAGAGAGAGGCGTGAGGATGAAAGGCCCTCTCCTAACAGAGGAGACAATGGCAAAAAAGTAGGGGAGAAGGAAAATATAGAAGGAGGGTAAGGAGAGGATAATGGAATAAGAGATGGAACAGAGAGGAAAACAATATGAGGCTGATGTACACTACAGAGATGGCACCTCAAGGAAACAAAGTGAGAAGGAATGCGAAGCCAGAGCATTGCAAAAGGTGCAACTGGAAAGTGTGGTGCTTGCATAAATGTGTGCTGAAAGGATAGTTGTGTAGAGCAGGCTCTTAGAATGAAACAAAGGGATGTTAGAAGGTCTGCAAAGAAACATTACAGTAAACTATCAACCAGAGAGATGCACCGAGAAACCAGCTGGGGATGAGAAATCCACTCTTTTCTGATTTTTGGCAATGACCAGAGAATAGCTGGCCAGAAACTTTAATATTTGATAGTTGTTTAATAACTAAACACATTTATTTAATACTTCAATACTACCATGCCAAAAGGTTCACAACAACAATCTTCGTGTGAACTTTGTAACTGAGTGAAGGAGACCTGGGGGAAAACACTTACTGAGAGTGGTCAAGGGCTTCTCTTCAAGAGCTATGAGCTAGTTAGTGCCATTAAGCCGGGCATGCACTGTACGATTTCTTACCCTTTTCGGGCCGATTCTCCAGTCGTGCGAGAATTCTTCGATCCGGCCAACTTTCAGCCTGATCGTGCGCCATCTACTCTACAGGGGGTAACAAGGGGCAATCAGCCTCTCACAACCAACACCCGATTAGGAATAGTGAGGTCGGGAGAAAATCAAACATGTTTGAAATTCAGTCGGCCATCGTGGGCAAATCGCTCAGTGGGCATACGCAAACAAGGACTCCTCTTCTTCTTCTTCTCAGACAAAAACACAGAAGCATGGCGGGTGCAAATGGAGTTCTTACTGTAAAATTGACGGACAGTAGTAGGCTACTACTGTCCAAACGTGGCTACTACTAGTAGCCACGTTTGTTCAGCCATGTCTTTGTCCAAATACGTCGTCGCCTTTTCTTTTTAGGGCTTTTAGCACAAAATTCAAAAAATTCCAAAAATTGCCAAGGCAGCATGTTTCACTCTAGTGAGCTTCATATTCCTCTTCTAGATGTTTGGCTTCTGGATAAATGAGTCCGAGTAGTGCCATCTCACTGCGGAGCTGAGTCCGACGTTGTTTTTAGACGTACAGTGTGAGCAGGTAGATCACACTGTACGTCTGCACAGTGTGAGAACATATATCATCATGAGCTGTGAACTCATACTGTACAACGAAACCCTATGTATTCCCGGGTTTAGCAGATATGTCTCAAATGTGCTGAGACCTTGATAATGGACTCAAACAGCAGATACTGTTTTATAATGCTAAGTTTACACCGGTCACACTTTGGGCAGCAAAAAAGCTTCTTATGCTTCATTTTTGAAGCTTGCACACATTAAGGTCAGAGGTGCGTCAAGAGCACCCTTGATGCTCCTGAAGCACTTCCTGTAAAGTGTGTCCAGATATGTCTGATGCTTCTGAGGCTCCTGTGTTCAATAGCAGAGAGCAGTTTTGGTGTATTTGCTTTGAGAAGTTGGTAAAAAGTGGTTTAATATATATGTAAGCGAAAGAGTCCACCTCAAAACATTGTCTGTGCAGTAAATTCATCAATATTATGCCTTATAATGTTATTTTGACGGTGTACCATCACTGGGAATTCCCAGCAGCAGCTCGGGGGATTCCCCTACTATTTGTCTGAATTAGAGTTTTTCAGGTATGTGGTAAACTGCGGGCACCAGAATAATAAAAGCGAACATCTTTTGCCAGCAGGATTTGACATTTAAGGTAATTTAGGCCTTAATAAACTGTTTCAGAGGAGTAATCATAGCGTCTGTCTCCCTGCCAGCCTGCTCAGACACTCAGAGGCTCCTGAGGATGCTGCTTTGGCTGCTCAGATGCGTCAAGAACTGCTGCTCCTGCTGCTCTAGATTCACTGCAGGACCTTTTGATGCACCTTAATTCACATCAACCGTTGACTTTGCATGTAAACCAGCTGCTTCTGCTGCATCAATCACGTGAGGTGTCAAGGTAGCATTAGATACAGCATCTAAACACAGACATGTCCAAAAGGATACCAAACCCAGATGGAGTAAATTGGTTGAATTAAAGTAACCAAGGTGTCTGACACTGATGATGTCTTTTACACTTGAAAGGGAGTTCTTCCTAATAACAGAAATAAGTAATGACCACTCTCAGCAGGAAGGTTAGAAATGTGTAATGATATCTTATGTTATAGTTTTTAAGAAAAAAAAACGAATATTTTAAGATGTCAAACTCAGCTGGAAATATCAGCAGAAATATCTGCTGGTCGGTGCATCTCTATTCTTAATGTATCAGTCAAGCTCTGTGACTGAGATATAGGCAACACTGAGTTAATAAAGGCTTGCATGCTAGAGAGGATGAGTTAACAGGATGTCCGTGCACAGTAAGCAATAAAGTGCTCTCCCACACACAGGCCATTTATTAATGCCAAAAGATGCATGTTTATTTGCTCAAACACCTTTCACACAGCAACCAATGCCATTACCAAACTTTAATGGAACATATATAACTCTCAACTTTCAAGATTATATGAAATGCAAGTTAAGTGAAAACTTCAGGCAGAGCAGTGAAGCATCTCACTCAATATTAAAACTCCAAGCTCATCAATCAACAAACCACAAATATACACCATGTGTGGTCGTGCAAAAAGCATAATAACTAGAATAACACCTCGAAGATAAAAATAAAAAAGTAAGTTAAACCCTGAAGACAGGCCAGCCATACAGGTTAGCACAAATTTTAGCACCCAAATTTCTCTTCCACTCAGGGGACTGACATTTCATTTCTAAAATTTACTCACTTTTACCATCCACCTCCTATGCTGGCAGTGAGGGATTTGAACAGTGGACTTTTAAGTACAGTTCCCCAGTGGTTGAATATATGGAAGAGCAAGAAATGTGAGTGCGCAGCAGGATCTCACCGTTTCTTTCAAGCAAGAGTGGGTCAGAGTGTTTCTTGCCTATGTCAGCAATGGAGCGCACCAGAGGGATGCGATTGCTGAGCTTCCTCTCATTCTGATGGTGGTGTTTCTTCAACATTGCTTCCCGGACCTTGTCGCACAGGTCCTCTTTCAACTGCCCAGATGCCACCATGTTGTCTATGACCATGTCTGGAATATGAAGGATTATACAATATAAACACCACAGTTTTGGTATAAAAGACTGGTCATACAGCAAACAACTTCATTAAACCTTAAAAAGAAGAGCGAGGTGCAGGAAACTACAAAATTCTGTGTTTTCTATGACTGTCACAAGGTCATAATCATAAATGCAACCTCAAATACATACCGTCATGAAAAAAAATAATAACTCACTCTGTTAAAAAGAAAAATGTGATCAAATCATTATTTTCATGACTATATATAAAAGCTTCAGGCATTATTTCTGTTGGATTGACAGTTATTAAGCATTCTCCATGCATTTTAAAAAATAAAATAAACTTATTAGTAAGGTTAGGAATTTTCCAAGGAAATAACTTCTATAATGGGTTATGACTTCAGACTCTCAGGACCATTTAGACCAAAAATCAAACAGCAGTTTGAAACCCCTCTTGATTTATGTATCGGTATGTTGTTTCCCTAATTGGTGAAAGGTTTATTGTGATTGTTATCAATTCTTCAACTTAAATCAACAGCTAGAGGGATGAAACTTGGACAGAAGTACGTTTTCCAAGTGTACAGCTCACTTTAAGTTAAAATTAATGACAGTTGTTCACAATGTTTACATTCCTGCTCACTGCCACGAGGAAAGCACATTTGTAAAAGCAGCACAGACAGTAAGGGGGCTTAATGTCCCTGCTAAGAGCATCCCAGAAACCTGTTGATGACAACCAAAATCAGGTGTATATATTTTACACTTATATTTTACACTTAAATGTTTAGAAACACTTTAGCAGTAAATTCAAATTCATTATTTTAATTTTTATGTTAATTCCTAGACCTTTCAATTCTCAAAAAAAAAAAGATAAAACCCTAAAGATCGACGCTGTTTATTTGATCCAGTGGAGCGAGGACTGTTCAGACTCCTGTACTGTAGAAACCAAACAACTACAGGAAAGCATGGTGCAGCATTAGAGAGGCAGTAGCTCTTGCAAACATTAGGCTGTACAATTGCACCTCTAGAACAAAGAATACATCGACCAAATGTTGGTCAGTATATTCTTGACGACCAAACTGTTTAGAATTTCAACAAAGAGGAGACGGTTTGAAAGAGGGTTGAAAGAAGCCATCTTTGTTAAAATGAAAAAGCAAGCACTGAACAGAGTGGGAGGATTGTGGTTTCATCTTCCAAGCATCAACATTTCTGTCATGGAACTCATTCCAAACAAATTACATAAGCACTCATCATGATTCAAATGGCCTAAGTTCTCTCAGCGCTTCATCTATAGATTGTTCTAGTGCCAGCCCTCAGGATTGACAAAGAATCCTAGATAGGTGTTGAAGTGTCTTCAGAAAACTGAGCAAAGTCCAGTTGCCTTTTATTTAAGCCTGTTTGGTGGTTGTAAAACTCTAAATTAATTTAAAAAAAATCATACCCATGGTGAGTTTATGTAATCTTTGTGTTTGCCCCAAATCTTTGTGTATATTTCACACTGATAGTAATAATCTGGTCTCCTATTGGCTAAAGAGAGGGATTTTTGTGAGTTGTGTGCAATTTACCTGCTATTTCCTCAATACTGTTGGCTCTCATATCCAGCATGACTGTGCCGTTTAGTATGCAGCTGCGTAGTTCAAATAAGCTGTGTAGCGATAATGTGGCCACGTAGGGCTTACTCCATCTCTCTCCACCGTCTTCCACATCCTCTTCAAATTTCAACCATCTGACACAGACAGAAAGAATGTTTTACATGTAGGACAGAAAAGGGAGCTGGATTTGAAACATACTAATTAGTCTACAGTGTTCTTGTCACAGCTAACTACATATTTTAGCTTTGACAGACTCCATTTGAGAGAACGCAGTCTAAAAGAAGCAGAGCAAACTGGATGACTCATACTCCAAATCTGTCACTAATTCAACACGTGTCTGTGTTGGAAAACAATCTCTAAGATGCCAGACAAGGAAAGTCACTAATTCCAATTCCAACTCCCAGAGGTTTGGAAAAGCAAACCTACGACCTGAAGCTGAGCCTGAGCTTTGCAGTAATCTAGGGAAGAAAACTGAGGAATAAGAACTCTTAATATGAAATAGAGTTCATTTATAATGAATTGAAAATACTTCAAGTTTTGTATTACATTAAGTTGAGCAGCTTCGAACCAAAATTTTTTAGCAAACCTCATTAAATTACAAAGAAAACAAAAACAAATGTTCATAAAGCCAACAGATGAATATGTAACAACAGATGTCCTTTTACATTTCTTTAATTAATGGTGGGAGTCCTTAACCTATACATGCTTATATTGTTATTGTTACCTGGCAGTCTCTCTCCACTCAGTTGCCCCACCATGCCTAGAGGACAGCTCGTCCAGCTCAGTGAAGAGGTCATGTGGGATGTGTTCAAGGTCGTCATCTTCTGTTCCTAGAATGAACTGGACCCTCTGTGAAGGAGTATCTGGAGACAGTAAGATTCATACTTATTACGACAAGAAGCAATATCAATACGATCAAGAAAATCTCATAAATGTAGTCAAGATAACAAACATAACTTGTTTAATTGTGTTTCATCAAATATGCACCATATATGTGTATTGTGCTTTTCCTGAAAGACATCTGTTTGTAAGGGGTGTGGTGTTTTCAGTCACAAGCACCAGCAGCTCACCATTTGGCCGTGCTCCTAGCCAGCATTTAGCCACCATGCTAAATCAGATACCCAACATCTTAGACACTAACCTACTGTAGCTCTTTAATTTCACAAACTGTTAACCAGTCTGTAAGATTCTATTAATCAGTCTGTCCCTAAACACTGACCGCTCCAGTTATACAACTAGAGTCAGGTTAGAGCCGAGTCATGGCTTCCAACTGATTAACCCACTGCTTTGTCTGTGAATCAGATGATGAAGCTAGTTAAGTGGGTTTGAAGCTATTTTAGCTTTGCCAAACAGGCTCAAAGTCTCGCTTAAAGGTATAGTGTTTTTTTCGTACATTTTTTAAAAGACCCGCCCTCTCCACTAAAAGAAAAAAAATTCACATGAACAACCCTATAGCCGCTCCTGAGACGGAACGGCAATTAAACGCGTGCGAGAGCATGCATGAGCCCATTTGTCCTTGGGCTCTTTTTAAAAGTTGCTGTTTGCATCGCTGATACAAGCTTACTTTTTAAAAGAAAATCTGCAATTTGTCCACTATGTCAGACTCAGCACCGATAAATGAAAATAGGGACAAGCACATAGGTTGGCCTTACGTAAACATATCTCCAGAATGACTGACAATTAGGAGGACCACTTATTTTGATAATCCACAAAAAAATAACATCCTCCACTATGTCTTTAAGATGAGGAATCGAGAACAATATATGGGTGATGTTATGATGTCTTGATCCATAGTACATAAGTGAATTTTGTATAAAGGACAAGGATTGTTTTATTAATAAAAATACCTTTCCATTATTCGACCTGAATCGAGCAGTGAATGGAGCACAGCATAAGTAGCCAGTTTACATACACTGAACAAACAAACACCAACATTTCTCATACACACCCAGTCAGGCCAAAAATCAGTAGCGGTATATGTGCCACTCTTTGAAAACTGAGGTGCTAGTCAAATGAAGATTGTTTTGCACTTCAGAGAAATTTTAACTATTTTACTGGCATATTACTTGTTGCTTTTGAAGATTTACAGCTCTGGACAGCTGAGAAAAAAAAAGAAACTTGCCGCCACTTTCCAAACGAGATGCTTACACACATAACTTAAAATGCCAGGACCATATATTTGTACTTTATAAGCACTTTTGTGGAATAATCTACTTTTTTCTGCCATGTTTAACAGTTACTGGGCAGCATATTTTTTGGTATTGCAGTACAATGTATGTGAACATTGTAAACAATTTTGAGCTGTTTTATTCCCATGGATTCAACCTAATCTTGTCCCAAATACTTCCCCTGCCATGTAATCCCCTTCCCTTGGAATAGTTAGCTGTAAACTAGGTAAATGAGAAATCTTAAACTCTGTACATCATGATATTATTCCAAACAATGATGATTATTATGGGTAATGTGAAATCCTTTGCAAAAAAGAAGAACACCAAGTCCTAGCAAGGATCAGGCCAGAATAATGGCAATGCACTATTATGTGTTTTACTAAAGCATCGCTGCAGGACAATATCCCTGACTTCGGGGTCTCTCTTTCAGGCTTTCGGACCATGATTTAAAGAAGCAGAGATATTTAAAGAAGGCTGAAAAACTCAAGGAAGTCCATGATCAGATCAGATGCAAGACAGACTGATACAGGTGATCCTTCCTGCCCAGTTATCAACATCTACAACAACTCATTACCAAAAGAGCTGATGAGTTACTTCAACATTTAGTTTCCCTTTGGGATTAATAAAGTGTTTCTATTGTATTGATTTTGAATTTAATTTAGTCCTGTTAAAGAAATAACTATATAAAAAAAGAAGGACATTTTCTGTGAATGAATCATGCTGCACATTTGGACTCTGAGAGGTGAGTGGGTGGTTCTTCACTGTAGCCATGAGCCCACTTGTATTTCTTCTGCCTTGCAATTGATTTGTATGAGTACCCCATGCATGAAGCTTTCTTCCTCCTACTTTATCTTACTGCCAACTGTGCAAGGTGACAAGATAAATATGGCTAATCTTTCAACAAAATGACCAGACATTAATAGAAAAAGATCTTTGAGAAATGTCATATTTATGTATTATTAACATAAGTTATATATTATTTACTAAAAGTTTGTTTAAAAACCTGATCAACAAAAGAAATTAACCTATAGATAGATAACTTCATTTAGACTTATATTAATAATATATAAATTGATAATATTTTATAAAAAAACAACAACAAAAAAACGCTTAATTCTGGATTTTGTGTTTGGTGATTTATATTGGCAAGAAAGGTAAACAAAAAAGTTATTTGAATCTGTAGCAAATCTAACAGTAGTATAGCTTTTAGTATAAAAAAGCAAAGGATTTACTGTTGATTGGTGTACTGAAAAAAAAAATAGAGTCAAACCATAACTAGGTGAATCTCTTCCATCCTCCTTTCCTTCCTCAGGTTCTTTGTCCTTCTTCTTTCGATGATGCCTGCGTTCTCTGTGGCGGTGCCTCCGTTTGCTCTCTCTTCCAAGTGGAACATGGACCCCAACGTACACTGCTCTGTGACCTAGGACAGAAAAGGCCGTTTATCTAAAAAAGTTCTCTCAAACACTACCAACTTTGTTTTGGGGCTACTCTGATCTTTTTTTTTTGTATTGTCAAAACCCTTGTCAAATGTCTGATAAGCACCTTAGGTAACTTGACTTACCATCTCTTTCAAGAGCATTTTCTTAGAAACATTCACTGAATAAAAACATAAAATACTAACTAGTTCAACATTACAAACTGAGCACATTAACTTTAACTTTTAGAATTCTGAAAATGCCAAACTACATAAAAGACTAATTTAGTGTCACGATTGCAAGAAATGGCACTAAAATCACAGATCACTTTACACAAAAAACTGAGGAAGAATCACTTTCCATTTCTTTGGAAATTTTGACTTAATCAACTGAAGGAAACCAGAGAACAACATTAAGCTTTTTCTCTTCTAATTATTTTTTTCCAGTGTTTTGTCTGCTTCCCCTCATTATTGTTCCTGCCACAAAGGACTTGCCTCCCAAAATAAAAAAGGCCTATTTTTACCCAACACAAGCTGCTGATACTCATCCTTTATAGATGAGTCATCTCTTTGTTTTGAGGGAAACCCCATGAGAAGTGACACCAACATATAGCATGTAGAAAAAAAACAAAAACAAAGAAGATATGATAATGATGAAAACCACAATGGACTAGAGAAATGTAGATAATGTCATTGTGAAATTTAATTTTCTCCTACACTACATAGAAAAGACCTAAGAAATGTTATTATTTCTACAGAAATTAAAGAAATTGAATTAAAAGTTAACAAAATTAGCGATATGCTGAGAATACAATGCTACTTTAAACCATAAATGACACTGGGTGTGTTAGCAAGGCATTAGAAAACTGGGTGTGAACCCTTCACATTTACCAGGAAATCCCATGTTTACGTACTGTAATGACTTCTGATCAGCTCTTACTTTGTTAATGAAATTATATAAGTAATATGTGTTTTTTTTTGTACAACATTCTAATGTCAACAGGATATTGGAGCAATTAGTTTCCATATGGATAGTAGGGGTGTGCAAAATAATCGTGATGATGATGCACCGTGATTCTAATTTTCGTGATCTACTGCATAGATTCTTGATGTCAAGAATCGATTATTAATTTAAAAAAATGAATAAATAAAATTGCATGAATGGTTGGCGAACATCAGCCAAAAACAAGTGTAATACAACTTCCAGTCCAGTAGATGTCACTGCAAATGTGTTGACGCACGCTGCCTTGTGTCACAAGCATTTCCGGCCGTGGGATACTGTGCCGAGTCATTCAAAAACAAAACATGGAGGAGAAAATACTGCAATGCATCGCAATAATTCAAGTATCGTGATGCATCGTGATAGAATCGCATCGTGGCCTGTGAATCGTGATTCGAATCGAATCGTGACTTCTTTGGCAATACCCACCGCTAATGGATAGGAATACATATCTGATGATTCATTTTCTTCCAATGTTTAGTAGTTTTAAGACTGATGAGAGAAATAAGAAACAACTCTAAATCCCTTTTCCTATTTAGTTTATGTCTGCTTTCAATACTGTTAAACAATGTCCACTTCCTTTTCAGTTATGAAACATGGTAAGACTTTGAGTAAATATCTAATTGTTTTCTAAAGGCTAAATTATGCCTGAATAGGGATGAATATTGTTTTATAAGACATAGACTACAAGCTTAAAATACAACAAAACATGTAGATGTAGAAAACACACTATTGCATTCAACATTTTTAAAGCCTCTCTGTAGTATCCAAGAGTGACTGTAATTTCTTTCCAAGGGGTTTTCTACAATCTTATGATTGTGGTGATATTTAAGAGCCAAATCAAAAAATGTCTTTAAATGCTGATATTTGTATACCCTCGTCATAAGGAGCACGTAACAAAAAAAATTTTGTTGGTGCACGTTGCGTAACTTCAGGCCGTGCGGACACCACGCAGAGGGGCATGTGTGCTTAACTGATGTATCTTGGCCATACGGACCTCAAGTTTCATTCCCCTCACCATGCTGAATGCTGGATTGGGTTGAGTCCTGCACTGATTCAAATTTTTCTAATAACTTCTGACCATTTGGGGGCACCTATCGATCCTGTTTTCAACATAAAACTTTCAGCCCAATATGGTCAGAAGACTGTTAGAAAGTGGGGGGAAAAAAACGTTAAAGATAAAAAGTGACTAATGATGATCCTTTATATCCTTTACCCAAATATACATACAAAATGAGGGAGTACTATAAAACTCACAGAAAAAAAGTACTACCCCAGAGATAATAAATAAATACTAAATAAACACTATTACACGTTGACAGTTGAATGCAAACAAGTAGCAGATTTTCAGTCATTAAAGGACTTGTAAGGATTTTTTAATCATTGGAAATATTCATATGCCCAAATTTTGTTTGAAATTATTTCAGTAAATGGTATGTACGTAAATATAATGTCTGAACATACTGAAAGTATTCTTTGGTTAATGGGATTGTACTTACTTTCCAAATCATCTGTCTCATAGTTTGAAAGAGTTGAGAAGCTGGTCTTTCCATGGTCAACTATTGCCTCTTCATCCAAACCCTGGAAACAATAACAACATACAAAAGAAAAGAAGATATATGTCATGGAATACATTTATTGAGCCTTTCAGTTTTCAAATAGCTTTTGAAGAGGAATAGAAAAAGTTGATAGGTTTAATTAGATGTCCAAGAAAGGCAGCTATTATTAAAATACAGTCCAAAACATTGTTGATGTTTGCATGTGACCATTTTGATCAATTCCAAATGTTGCATATTGAAACTGACGTACAATTTTGAAATAAATTAGCCCTAAACATCATATACAGCATAATGCAGCAGGCTTAGTTTTTATGAGAGCTTATTTATAGGTTATGTTCCACAAACAAATTAGTCTCTATTGACAAAATTGTATTTCTTTTTATGACTCATGTCATAAAGGTTATGTTTCATAGCAACTCAAAGAGGTTCACCACAGCAATTAAAAAGAAACACCTCTTCCAATAATGTCATGAGAACAATAATGCTTTAAGGGCTCAGCTAGCAAGTGATACACCCAGCTGGATTCATAGCAGTAAATATACACAACACTGGAAATCAAATTAAAGAATTCAGATGTAATAAATGACATATTCACACATAAGACACTCACATCCCAAAATGGTGGTACTGATTTGAAGCCAAAAAGAGGCATTCATTAAAAGCATAAAAAAGAAACTTAGATAGAGTGGCATAAATCATAACATTTTTAGCAAATAGCAAACTTGTTATAAAGCCAAAGTCTGTTAGATATAACACCCCCCAGATTCTTTCAACTACATGACTGGGTAAATCAGACTGGAGGGGAAGAAAAGGGGTTTATAGTTCAGGATAAACATGTCTCTAAAATAGAAAATATATATCAGGTATAGAAATACAGTAAAATTAATTTCCAAACGCAAAATTTCTTTCAAAGTCAAACTAGAAAATATCTAGAAAAATTAAAACACAGTTTCTGGAACTATTTGCACCCTAACATCATAAAGCTCCACATATTGGACTATATAGAGAGCAAAGGGATCAGCTTGTCTGCATAGTCAGTGTATCTCAACTAAACGTGAGATTGCAAGATGAGACATGAAAATCTTAAATTAGACAAACATTTTTATTGGACACATAAATACCTTAGAGGGGGTGAGCTAATGTCGACTGCAGCTGCCAGGTTTACACGACTTTATGTTCTAGTTTCCTTTAAACTCTTAGTTAGCACATAATTCTAGATAATAATAATATAATTTGTTTAAGTTGATTATCTCCAATAAATGTATAAGCCAAAGTCAAATTATATTTTTTTACTCCAGAAAAAAAAGCAGCAGGCAGAAATAAAGCCAACACAATTATAAAATGAAGAATTTGACTGTGTATCACTGCTGCTGAGCACATATGGACACAAAATGTGACCATTGCCTCATATTGGCTGTAAACCTAACCAGGAATAACATAAGGGCCTTTTGTTTTCTCAATGCCAATCACCTCTAGAGACCATGCTTTCATTTGCCTGGAAACCATTTTGCAAATCTTTTCGTTTCACTGCTTTGCTCGCCACTTCTGATGCATCACTGCTGACATTCAATTTTCCCACATTATTTTCCTTGTTCAGCTGTGAATCTTCCATCAATAATGAGTGACATCATCTATCCTTGGATTTATTTGTCCATTCATTAGTTTGTTTGTTTGTTTGATTTACATGATAATAAGTGCTCCTGCTCTTTGTCAGAGCCTTGATAATAAGAAGTCATTTCAGAGAGAAATAATGAAATCAATCAGGCTTTTGTTAGTGGAAATTTGTCCAACTACGGGACAAAATGAAGAGTGACAAAACTATTTCATGAGATTTTAATGACAATTTGTGTTGAAAAAGCTTCTACAGCTCTATAAGCTCTACAATGAGATATGTTATAGATCAACACAAAGTGCTGTATCCTAACAAGATGTTGGCAACACCATGTGACAGCTGTTTTAGGTTGCTGGGTAGTGTTTCTTTCCTTATTGGAAAAAAAATAACTTTGGACCTACCTGACCAGAAACCTTCTACATGTTTGCTTTGTCCTATACAGAAATTAAATAAAATAGGTAGAGATAAGTTTTTCACTTCATAAGAATAAGTTATAAGCTATGTGCTAAAGTGGTTTGTTAGTGGCCTGTTTTCCTAAACATGATTCAATCAGCAAACATCCTCGTAAATGTGATTGTTATGAATCTACATGTTTCAGTCAGGACAATAATGCATTTACTGTTGCACTGTAATAGTTTTTTTTATATACAAGCAAGTAACTTTTTATAACAGTGGATCTAGGAGAACATTTCAAAGCAAAAACCACATGCATGTGTCTAATTAACCCAAATCACCGTAATAAGCCTGTATATCTTATAGTACCTATTCTCTAGCTAATGTCAAGAATTACATTTTATGTGCATGTTGTCCTCAAGGCAGCTTAACCAGCTATAGTAAAAGCCCTTGTTAGATTACTTGGTGCCGTCAACCCCACGTTTCTTGGAACAATCAAAGAACACGTGATGAAACCTGTCACATAGCTTTGTCAAAAATAAACCCCAGTCTATCTACAACTGTCCCTGAAGCAAAAGGCTGGGGAGATTTAGATTGCTTCTGTTGCTCCTCCACAGCTGTGCTTTGTGGGCATAAATGGCTAACATCACTGTGGGAGTTTAGTAGGAGGGAGGAACTAAGAAAAGCAGACATGACTACAGAGGTGGTGACAGAACACAGATGTGTGGAAGGAAACATTTAAAGTCTGGTCTTTAAGTTAAAAAGTTTGTGCATCCAATTAACATACATGTTCTTATACTGACAAACAATGTTGATTCTATAGCATCCAAATCTGAAGCCAAATATTAATGCTATACATAAGAAGATTTACAACCTTTTACAATGTTTCTCACTCTGTGACATCATAGTAAATTGAAACTTTGCTTCCCTGCTTTAAGTCAGTCAGGAGAATATCTAATTTATTTGACAAATCAGTTTTTTTTTTTGTAAAACTTCCTTCTAATCAGAAGTTTACATATCCTATAATCAATTTGCCTTATAATAATTTGAAAGGAAAAACTTCAAACTGTCTTATTTTTTGACATATAGAAATGTAAAAGATAAAAAGCAGCTAAGAAGTATACTGTTGACCTTCACAAGGTACATCTTTGGGTACAAGTTCCAGATGCCTGAAGCTCCAACGATCAAATAATTATTTGAAACTATTACCACCATGCTAACATTCGGAATTATACTGTTTGGAGACGGGTTCTGTCTTGCAGAGTTGACCATGTTTTTATGTAATATGCATTCATGGATACAACAGCAAAAGCAAAATCCTGTGCTGACAGAGCTGAAAAGACACAAGCGGGTATGCTGGGGAAGATTGTCAGTCATCCAGATCATAGTCATTCCAAAATAGTAAAACAAAACACAAAAACAATCAACTGGACTTTGTTTCCAAGTTTGAAGGTGTTTTGCTTCACATCTAGCAAGCTTTTTCAAATCAAAAAGTGCTTACTTCTCCTCGCATGCATGAATCTGAATGCTAGCTGCACCTCTCTACCTTTTTGTGTGGCGGCAAAACCACTTTAATTGCATTACTCCCACCTAAAGGGCTGCAGTGACAAATTTAGTTTATTTCTCGTTAAATGCAACATGACCAAAATTTAGTGCTTCCGCGATGTTAAAAATTACTATATTGCAAATGCAATTACTTTCCCAGCCCTATTGGTCACAAATGGGTCTTCCAAATACACAATGATGCTAATCGTGTGGCTTAGTGAAGATTAATCAATACAGTTTTTTATGGCCGATGCAGATTATCTTGATATCAGTCTAACAGATCTCCTATATATGCTGCCCATATTTTTGAGCAAATTCTTAAAGTATTTATTGCTTTTCTTCCTCCATTCACATGATAAAAATGAAATAATGACAAATGTTATACAAGTCTAAATAAAAAAGAAAAATGTATTAACCAATCACACAAAACAACAATAGATAGCAAATAGACTGTATGCTATCTTAAGGTATTGTTACACAATAATAATTCTCCAACACATGGACGTGTCGGCCGACACTGATACAAGAATAAAAAAGGTAATATTGGCTAATAAATTGGCCGGCCGATATATCGGTCTCTATGGCTTAGAAAAAACAACCTTAGTGTTCTGGAGTGACATCACAAACCTTTTATCCCAACTACACAGATAACTTCTTGCCACACTGAGCAGCTATGGGAGAGCAAGGCAAAATATGGCTGTTACACCACTTACTTTTGGACAAATGTTCAGAGGACTGTTGAGAGACTAGTGAATAGCCAAATAAACTGAGATATGTCTGAAAGTAATTTCTACCAACTACCAAAGTGTATGTAAATGTCTGTATGTGAAAGTTTAATATATTTGTTTAAATAATTCAGGGACAGAGGAGTAACCTTAGTAAACAGAACTCACTTAAATATGAAAATATCTGAATTCTACCCAAGAGCTAAAAACAATGGTTATATGTCTTTTTTACATGCTGTATGTAAATAACTGAATTTTAGATGCTGCATACATATCAACGATAAGTCTAAGTCTTTAATAGGAATAATAAAGGAAAGAGACCACATGACATCAGATTGATCTGTCTCAGTTTTAAAAGGAAAACTAATTTACTTTAGTCTTTCATACAAGTTTTTAATTCTGACAGAAAGAGCCATGCTCAATGGTTAATAAGGTTGCCTAAAATACAGAGTGATATAATGAGTGTCTTTTAGAGGTTATGTAAGCCAAAACATTGTGTACAAATCAAATTTTGAAAAACATTTTATCTACCAGTTTCAAAACTAGATTCCCAAAAAGTTGATGGCTAATCCTTCTGTGACTGTTACAGTTGTAGCGTTAGCAGGATGTTTTTATCTTCTGCAATCAAAAATATAGTATTCAGGGCTTTAGGCATAACTAAGCATTTCCAGAATGTGTGATAATTTTTCGGAGTAAATGAAAGCTGTGACCCGTTTCTGAGTATTAAACCACATCATGTTATGTTTG